CCTCCACTGTTTCCAGCTGGCCTCAAATTATGAACGCTAGCTCTTTGCGCTCCTAAGCGCTCAAGTTTAACACGCGCAGAATGGCCGAGCCAGAATTAGTTCAGCAATCGGCTGTGGGTAAGTGCCATGTTCCAGCATAGCTGAGGGCAGCTGATCCTGCGTCGTGTCCACATGCAGATGGGTGTCGCCATATGGCGGGACACTAGCAGAAACCATTGAGTGCAGCAGATTGTCCACGATGGCCTAGTAAAGCAACAAAAATTGGATGCTTATCAAACTGGGAAAATCTACATCTACCAGTAAGAATTCGAGCTTTATAGTAAGGCCTGCTGGGGCTCGAGCGGTGGCCACAAACTGTTCGGAGGATGGGCCCTGTGAGGTCACCTCACATGGAATGACGGCCAGCTGTTTTTAAAGATCTTCATGATTTAACAACGAGACAGCTGCACCCGTATCAACGACGAATCGTTCTAGGCGTTTCTGCGAAATGAGGAAACAATGGAGGCTCTCGACACCTAAGGTGCCAAGTCAATAGCTTTGGTAGGAGGCGTGCTGATCACTCGGTGTTCGAGCTCTGCGGGTCGCTCTTCATACTCTTCTCATACTCATACTCATATTTCATACTCTTCACCACTCCGGGTGGCGACCCTTTAAGTAACGGCGCCTGAAATATTGGTAAAGGAGCAGGAAGTCCGACGATAGCTTGCTTGGGCGGATGGATGTTTTCTCAACCAATGGGCTAAACGGCGTCTACCCTTCTCACGCCGGGTGTCGGCTCTTCAAACAACGTGGCATAGGCATCTTAAAAACCCTCAGAAGGAGTAGGTGGTTCGGGAATGGGTTATTTGAACGGCAGCGTAATCACGGCTAGGTGCTTCAGTAAATCGCTAGACGTTGAAGCAGCGGCTTGAACTTTTTCTCAAACGGTCCGAAAACACGGGCAATGCGGATGCTCGCCGGGGCAGTTTTGGTTCGCCCCCGAAGATTGACCTGTTCTAGTTTTCCACAAGAGTCACCGGCGCCTTAGGTTGACTTTTTCCATGGTGAGCGTGGCTGATTTGTAACCGCGCCCATTGTCACGTTCGGTACCAGTGGTCCTACGTCGTCATTTTGCCTCTAGACAATTGGACATTATGAGCGCTTTTGGCAGGGTGCCTGGGTTACTGGCGTGAATTAAAACGTGATACGTCGTCTCGCGAATACTGTCTATAAAGCGCTGTACTATAATGCTGTGGTAGGCTACAGGTCGCCGAAAACAGCTCGTCCTAGCCGATCCAAGTGCATTGCAAAATCTTCTAACGATGGGATTCCTGCATGCGATTATACCCGGTATGGGTACTAACAGAAAAGTCTTCTCGCATGGCTGCGGTCAGTGCTTCGTAGCAGCGCATCGTGCCTTCTGGCAGGATAGCATGGTATAGCTGGGCCCGGCCACGTAAGCTGACGTTGAGCTTCCGGCAATTTTTTTCTCCAACCAGTAGTACTCCTCTTCTATGTCACCTAGATAACGCTGAAACTCAGGCCAGGGTCTTCTCATGAATGCTGGTTCAGATTGTGATGCACGTTGCATGGCGTCGCCATTGTTGACGTGTGTCATGAAAACGGCGCACCGGTTCGGGTGTTAAGTCCTTACTTTCTTTTCGGGCGACTCCGAATGTTGTGCAGTGGTTTTTTGCAATTGAGAGCTCCTGCATATGGTGCCGATATTCGAGGTGTGCTGGCCGCAATCCCACCGTCAGCAGTGGGAAATTTGGGGCCGGCTGATCCCTTAGCAGCGTTGGTGCTCTTGACGGTCCCAAATGAGCCATGCTGGCCACCGAACATGGTGCGTCGTTTGAGGCATTGTGGGCAAGGTTTCTGCAAACACAATGTAGAACCTCACACTTAATACCTATCCAGAGAAACTGAGCAAAAGGGAATTGGCGTTGTCACGGGTAGTCAAGCGAAAATAAATGTTTGTAGTAGGCGGGGGGCAGCAACGGCAGTCAACACATAGATACCGGTCAAGATTATTAAGTACAGTCAGCTTTATTAATTATTAAATTATTTTAAAGAACATATTTATCCAAGGCACGTGGTTGCCAGTCCGCAGCCAAAACGATATGAAGGAAAAATAGATGGTTCAATAGCCATATTAGGGCTGGGGCTGTCACCCGATTTATCGATAAACTGATCATGATATTTGTTGGGCTTTTCAGATGAATGTAGCGCTAAAGCAGGAAAAGTAGAAAGTGAAAATATTTGTTCCTCTCTTCTCGTTACAGTAGTAATAAAAGTCCTGCACAGCACATGCAACCCAGCCTAGGGCTTTTGGACAGTGCGAATTTTCGCAAACACTCTCCATCTATAATTGTCTAACGCTGGCAGGGCAAAGCCACTATTCTAATTTTGTATTTTTTTTACAGTAAAACTTTAGTTAAGTTGAGTTGTAAAATATTAAAAAATAAATTATATCAAACAATGAATTTACCATATACGTGGCCAAATATCTTTAAATATAAGAGCGCTCGGGTCTAGCTTTTAAAATTAATTTTTTGTTTTTAAATTCCGGTGAGAAAGGGGAGGGGAAATGTTTAATTTTTCTATACTAGACAGAACCCCTTACACCAAGGGTGCTCGAAGCGTTCAAACAAGAGGACATGGTTAGATCGGCTCAGCGTCTTAACAAAAATTATATATAAGCTCTTTTCTGCCTGTTACATACGTTTGCAAGTTTGTGTGCCGGATAAGCAAGGTTGGAGCTGATGTTGTCCTCGTAAAGGAACCTTAGGATTAAGAAGGCAAGGTTTCTGGAATTAAGATGATGGATTAAAAGCCATTTTTTGGAAAAGGTCAAATAACGCTTGAATAGGTTTTTTCTATGAGCGTAAAGCTAAGCCAATTCAGTCGGTTTCGATGCCAACGTTCAACACACTCAGTGGAACCTTTGTAATTAAGATTTGAGACTTGACCGTCGTCTTAACTCTTTACAATTCAATAGTGTATTAAAATGAAAAGTTCTAATCTAACACTCCTTTTAATGCAAGTCTACGCGTTGGACTGGCAGGAAATCCAGCGCAAGCCTTATTAGTCCCTTTGCTAGAAAACATAGGGCACCCCTTACTCCTCAAATGCTTATTGGGTTAGCTCTCTCCTTTAATGAGTCACCATATGACAATTAGGACATAAGATGAATTAGGATATCGACAGTCGCTTTCTACAGGCGTAGGAAAATCATTGCATTGATGTGGGGCATGACACCTCACATTGTTCAATGGCTATACAATCATCTAGTCGAACCTACTTAGCGGGGTCTGAATATGGTGACAGGTGACAGAGATAAAATCCTCTGTAACTAACCTATGCAAAATGCAAGTTACGAACGACACGAAGCGATGCCGTGGATGCCATCGTCCATTCCCTTTGTATATACCTTATTGGTAAATAAATGCTAATCTCTCAGTGCTTTTCATGAGAGACTCGCAACAATAAACCACCCAAAATAATAGTCACTCTAACATATTTATTAACCCTTATCCCCCAGCTACAGACTAAAATCTCCTTCAGACTCCGACGACGGCATTTCATTTCAAGCGGAGATGTCTGCAATACAAAAACTCAATGAGAGTGGATTTTTGAACTCAAAGAAATCACAGGAAGTATTTGCATATGCTCAGAGATGCAAACAGCTATCAACTCACTTCAAAGAATGACGTCTAACTCGACAATTGTTACCAACTGACGCAAACCTCGTCATATGATGGCCAAGCAATTTGAAGTTTACCTCATTTAGGGCCAACTTGCAACTAGCAGAAGCCGGATCCATTACTAAGCACTAGTAAGTAGGCGACCAATGGTACCTTTACAGTTCGTGCGACGTGCAAATTTTTTCTCTGGAAATTGGAGGACGGATCAATTTTGTATTTTTGCGATTATTTTTAATGGCTAATATTTTTGATTTAAAAAAAAGCGGCAGAGCCACCGAGAACAAGAAAAGCAATACGTAACAAGTCAAAACGGTAATCTTTCGATGAAAGAAGTTAAAATGCACTTTAAGTCATATCAATTAAGATTATGCAGTTATGTGAGGAAAACATTGAACTCAGATATTCACAGATACGATGATATTCACATTTAAGGGAGCATGGTTGAGTTCGTACATGGTAGGTTTCATAAAACCAAAAGAGTTTTTCACAAAAACCTTTGAGGTTATACCAACTATTCTTATATCAGCAATATGATGTGGTAAAAGTAGTTAAATGTTGATAAAATCATGAAAATATGTAAGGAGCATTTTAAAACTTTTACATGAAGTTGGTCAAAATAATTAAAAATCTGTTTTTCCTATAACAACACACTTTTATGGTTTCCTTTTGATGCTCAAGATTTCTGGTTGACTACTCTATGAGTTAAATATTATCTCCACAAAATGCACCCATCGCCTGACACACATAGTAAGTTCTGCTTAGTGGAAGGTGAAACAACTATGCACATTCTCTGTGAATGTCCTGCCACTACTTGGGATTGGAGGAATCATCTGAGCTAAGATTTTGTATTTTCTAAGCTCGCAAAGGGAGCCCCAGGCACAGTGAACCGTCTCATTCGCAATGTACTTCGCATAATAATTTCAACGGCCTGCTATATAAATACAACCAGGAGATACCCAAGCAACATTACAGTGACCGGCTATGGCTACTTACTAGACTGCAGATTCACGAAAGCAGCGATTTCATAATAACAAGGCTTCTTCTTTTATCACCCCGCTAAGTCGAAAAATGTCAATGCAAGCTAACTACAAATAAAATAAACTAGGTTAAGTTTAAAATGTACATAATCCCCAATTCTGAATAAAAAGTTCACACAACTGGAATGTTATCTTTTGTAAACAGTTTATAACATAAAACTGAATGAACAAAGATGGGCAATCAACAATCTTAATGAAGAGTCTGCTGACTATTAAAAAAGTTAAGAAAAATTTACATGACATATATTGAATTCTAATAAGGCAGCTTATACTTTACCTCTTGTGTTACTAAGAATCCAACGGTCAATGGTGATAGGAAAGACGCCGACATATGAATCGTTTGGCAGAAGGCTAATACTGCTCCTGAGTGTCCATAGTTTGGCGCGATGTCGATGATATTGGCCATTGCTCCCGCGTAGGATGCGGTAATAAAAATAACTGCTATGAACCAAGTTGTCAAGAGAAACGGTATGTTATCTATATAACCTATACATAAAATAAGTAATCCTGGAACAACTTGCGATAAGGCAGTAAATAATTTTCGCACTGTTGTAAGACCCAAAATTTTATGAAATAACAGTTTATCTGCAATATAACAAAAAAATACCGACGAAATATAAGAGCAAAGAAATGGCATTCCCGACAGAATTCCATTTGTTCCAAACTCAAACTTAAGAATATGGTTCATAAAAGTCGGTCCATTAACAATAAAAACGTAATGTATAAATATTCTGCCGAATGTTGTAACTGCAATTGCCCAAACTGGCAAGGATCTAAATATTTGCCCCCAAGGCACTTTCACTGTGTATGCGTTTCGTACATCTTCACCAATATTAAGCTCAATGTAATTAAGTTCCTCTTTGGTTATTCTGGGATGTTCCTGTGGTGTGTTATAAGCTAAAATGTACCATAAAACGCACCATCCAATTCCTAATAAGCCAGTTGTATAAAAAACCAGTGGCCAACCAAAATTTGTAATAATAAACCCACACAGTGGATACGTTAAGCCAATTCCTATACTAAATCCTTGAAAGCTTGACATAAACCGTGAACGTTCCGTCTCGGGTATCCAATAGCCCACCATCGCGTACATTGCAGGCCAAGTTAAGCCAGAAGCAAATCCCTGAATTGATCGTAAAAAAATTACGACAGCATAATGAAATTCTGCAGCTAATGGCATAAGTAGGCTGCATAAAGCAGTTGCCATCTGTGACCACCCGAATACACACTTGGTTCCAAATGCTTGAGTAGAAACTCCGCCAACTACTTGAGATAGCACGTAACACCAATAGAATGAACTTATTATCACAGATTTCACTATTGATGAATGGTCTTCAGAGCCACTGCCCTAAAACGTAAGATAAAGTTCAATGTTTCGAATGTATAACAATTTATGAAGCTATTACCATATACAATGTAGTAGATACATTTTGATTATCAGTCAGTGTTTCATTACCATTTGATATCATGGCAACCAAAGCAAAATTCATATCATTTCGCATCATGAATGACACCAGAAAACCAGACCAGGAAAGAAAATATAAAACCAAACGAGCTGGAATTTTATCTGTAATTAAATTAATTGAGAACATAAATACACATCACATAAGAAGTAAACAATTTTATTCGGGGTGCCGAAGATAAAACATATTTTCACTCGCAGATTTGTCATACATCGTTGTTTTATTCTCTCTCCAATTATTTCTACTGATATCATATAGTGGTCCAATGTTGAAAAAATTTTGCATCTATATAAGGATCATAGTGGATCTAATTACTCCCGGGTAAGACCAAGTTATCTTAATATCAACAAGTAAGAGTGCTCTAGTCGGAAGTGATCAACTAGGGAAGACCGTGAAGCATCTTCTACAAACAGCAAATGCAATTTGCGCTACGCGCTCGTTTGCTTGACCATTTTATCCAATATTTTAAAAAAAAAGTTATTTCCCCTTACCGGACTCGAACTCCATTCAACCTTGCCACCGCCTCATTATTCTCAAATATACGAATAATTAAGATTCAATGAAAAAAAGATCAAATTAGGAGCACATACACAGAGCACAGCATACGATACAATCGCAATTGCAATTCTATTTGTGTGCATGCATGTGTGTATTTGTGTTTATGCATACAGAAATTCTTGCAATTTGCGCTAGCTGCTGCAAACACATGGTCTGCAAATATATGTATATACAACCTGTGTATAATCTGTGTTTCTTATTTTTCTTGACGACATTTTCAGAAGTTGATCTTATTGCACGATAGAATATTAGTATATTCTCAAAAACACAACAGCGGGATTTCCATATTGATTTTTGTCGATTGATTAGAAATAAGACAAGTTATCGAAAATCGGAAACAAACTCGTACTACGCGGGTACTAAGTGGACCTAGTTGATAAGATCCGGAGTTGATAAGATTTTGCTTATGTGTTGGGGGCATAGAAAAACTTATAAGTGCAGGTAAGATATCCTCATTAACATAAAAAAGTTTTCTATACAATAACCTACTTTTGGACATGGCAGATCCACACATATGTACTGCATGCAGCAAAAAGAAAAGCAGAAATCGGAAAAAAAATTTAGAGAGGTCCGTCTATCTGTTGCCGGCAGCACATAGGTCAAAACTGGCCGGATTAAACCACTACACAAAATAGCCGGTGTTTAAATGATCCTTGTGATGCGGTATGTATGTTAACAATAATTCCGCGGTTCGACGAGGCGAGCCCGACCATTTCCACGTCGATTACTTGGCCTAATATGGTGACATCGGTCAGCAACCTTGTTGGAGCTGTCCGTAATTTTATACTTCAGAAATACACAGAAATCGGCTCTGCCGACTCTAGCTCTTAGAATTAATCGTCTTTATTTTTAGATTCGATTTTGATATCGACCGGAGCAAGTCTGTCTGGTGTAATAAACGCCTCGGTCCGCAACCGGTCATTTCTTTAATTATTCGGTAACGCGGATCAGAAGTCAGTCACTAATGCATGGTGAAACACTAATTTGCGCCCAGCTGTGTAAAAAACCCAACCAAAATGTACAAAAATCAAAAAAAGTCCTTCAACTGGTCTAGGCATCAATGAAAAAGTGAACTAAAGACACATAAAATTTTCCCAAAACTGACACAACTGCAATGCTTCGTAAAATAATTAAAAAACAAACAACAAAAACAATGCAGAGTGCGGCAACAAGTGCAGCACATACATTATCTTGACACCGAAGCAGCAGGAGCTCTTCGGGAAGATACTGGACCTTTTCTAATTCTAAGGGGAACATATAAGTGAGATGCTCAATTTAGAAAACAGACTCCATTATCATAGATCAGCGTTTGAAAAGAAAAAGCTAAAAGGCTTAGAGGCTCTAGTCGGGAGTACCCGAATAGGAGATCCCTTGATCCCTCTTCTACCAACACCGTAGGACTCGAACTCGTAATAGGCCGCACTACTTGCAACCGCCTCTACTCAACAGCCAACGGATTAAAATAGCAGCACACAAAACAATACAATCGCAATTGCTGCATTACAATGAGAGAATTCAATAAATATGTGTCTGTACATACCTGTACAGAAATTATTGCGCTTAACGCTAGCTGCCGCTGACACGTGGGCTCCTAATATAAATAATACCATACGTTTTCTTTAATAGCAGCTATTGATGCTGATCAAGAATATATACACTTTATCATACACCATATACCATTTTTAACCATTTTTAATGGTTTTAGGGTATAAAAAGACTAAACTGCCCAAAGTGAATCGGGAGTATAAAAATACAGTATATATTTACTTATTTATACTCATACTATTTTTCTTTAGTTTAACTTAAACATATTTTAATCATATGGAAGGGTATATTGAAACCTAATTTACCCTATCATGAAAACTTAAGAAGATAGCACCGTGGTGATTATACACTATCTCGAGTGTCCTAGCGCTAATTTCCTCACTGGAGAGATTAGAAAATGGCCAATCATTGTGCGAGTCACTATTGGAGGTGACAGTTTTTAAACCTAATAGACAATTAATTCCCTTACATCTATCAAATTTGCTTAAACAAAAATTAAAATGTCTTAATATTAAAAATAATGCTGTCCTGCATTTTTAAGAGCATGCTATTATATTTCCTGCGATTGCTCTCGATGAACTCCTGATTTTGGCCACAAAACGATTCGCAGATTCTCGTTACTAGTTCTACATTTGCATCCCTCCATGAAACATACATCATAACAAGTTCTCTCAAATATTTGCTTCATCATTAATCATCCATATTTTAGCGAGTACCACTATACCGACTTCTTAAACTGAAAAAAGCAGCAAAATCAGCTAGGCATAAACGTCGGGGGGCTGAACATAATGGTGTAATAGTCTTATTTTCAATATTGTTTCTGAGCCATCGGGTAAGTTTTGCAACTGTTGCCTTAACTTCCTAAACCCAATGTGCACTGATAATGAGGTATTAATAAAAACCCCAAATGCTTTCGGTCAAAGGCGTTTTCCTGGGCAGATATCTCCGTAGCCGAAATAAACGTAGGCTGTATCTTTTTATGCTGTAACTTTGCTTTATAGTTAAATTGCCCTGTTAATCTCGCTTGTCTTCCTGTCTGGAAATTGTTAAAATAATTAACGACGTAACTGCAGCAAGCAAATAATACTGAATATATATATATTGACTCGCTGCAATATAAGTGGAAAATATTTTAAGCTTTAAGCTAAACTGCTGTGAATAATTCTTAATACTCGACCTAAGTTCATTTATATAGCATTTATAACTAAAGTTAAATTGATCGTGGGTCAAAAAGTTTTTTTTAAATTGCTAAGGTAATCTTTAGTTTCACAATCACGAAGGATATTCTAAAACGCCTAGATTTTTTTTTCAAAATTTCTACGATCCACATCTATATTTTCAGCATCTTCTTCTTATGGGAATAAAATTTCGGTTTAAGGCATCGGAGTATACGGAATATCAAATCTAAATATTTGTTGTGCCCTAACTTCTCACCTTCATGAGTGCTCGTGATCGTAAGTTTGATACTCCAAAAATGAAGCCACATTCGGATCTTTGTTTCAGTTTTGATAAACAAATCAGTAAATGACTTTACAATTAAGTCAAACTGGGGGAGTTTTTTTGCTGAAACTCAACCCAATAATAATTTATGACGCCCTGACTGCCAAAAACACCGCCTACCTTTTTAATACGTTTTAAAAGCTGCCTATAGCGAAAACAAAATACCGAGCGCAAGTAACAGGGTCTGCTCTTATTAGACGTGCATTATTACCAAAATATAAATTTGCTGCTAATTCTTTGGAAATTTCTATCCTATTTACATTCTTAGAAAGTCAAACTAACAGTTCTGCCCAACTTGTTTTTGCGGCCAAAAAAGTTATAAAAAAGGTCGGAAGACCAATCTGCCTATTCATCGCCATGACCTTTTTCTTTTCTGCTTCTCAATGAGCAGGTAAAGTGGAAATACATTTTAAACCTCTATAGCTATCATCGAGAAGTTTTAAATTTCCTAAATGCTCCTCGTTAAGGGCTTATGCTGCCGTAATGCCTTGTGGGGAGTTGTGCTTACGCAAACAAATGGAGGTAGTGTTCCTTATATTAATCATTTTCAATTTTTATGATTGACCTAACTAGGGTTTTAATACTTTCTGAACACTTTCTTTTATTGGCAGCAAAGAAGGGAAGGCCAGTTCCTTTGAATCACAATCTTCGATCCTGTCTAAAGGACGCTGACCCTCTCTATGAGCTATAACTATTCTTTGCATAACAATATTTTTAACAGGGACCTTTTCTTACAATGTTTCGTGTCCTCCTAGATTAATATCTATCATTCACAGAGACTTGAACAAATCTTTCTACTAGTTGTGATACTAGATCGCTGTCGTCGAATGGAACTTCGACAGACGAAAAGGCATACCTGGTCGGGAGCCTGCTTAACTGTTATATTAAGCGAAGCTATCAGACCATATAGGTTATTACCTATTGCTTGGGATAATCAATCCTCTATTCCTGGTCGCATCGCGCCTCTTCTCTGCTATCCTATTACTTGTCCGCTATTCCTAAATTATTTGAAAAAATAATCACTTTGAATTTGCAGCATTTCTGCAAATCAGTTCTCTCCCCTGTGCAACATGGATTCGTAAAGACTCAAACAACTACGACCAATCTGCTAGAAATTATTTCCTTGGTAAATGATGCTGTCCTTTCTAAAATGCAAACTGATGTCATTTTAACTGACTTCAGTAAGGCGTTTGAATCTGTGCACCATGATCTATTACTCTTAAAACTTGACCGATTAGGTTTCCCTCCGTCTCTTTTGCTTTGGATTAGTTCTTGTTTAAAAGGTAGGACCCAGAGAGTAATGCTGAGGTTGACTACCTCAAAACAAGTTCACGTTACTTCTGGTGTTCGTCAAGGTGTTCCTCAAGGCATCTTCGACCTTTACTCTTTACCCTTTTTATAAATGATCTCCTCGGCTATATCACATGCCCATGTACTTATGTATGCGGACGATGTGAAACTTATTCTCTCATACACTAATCCCCTATATCATTTTCGTCTA